GTGATGACAATGACGACGATGATGATGAGGATGATGATAATGATGATGATGATGATGATGATGATGATGATGATGATACACAATTATGATATTTGTAAACGCCCTAGCAGTTCAGTGCAAATAGTGTCGTATGTATTTTGAACTTATCAGCAAAGAGTAGGTACCAGAAACTAAAATTTCAAAGTAGCTCTCAAAGAGGCAGATAAAAGGTACTGCCTAGTATTCTGTATTTAGATACAACGCTACATGTCGTAATGATATAAGTCTTGTCAATTCAATAAGTACAAGAAGAGAAATCCAATAAAACTAGTTTGCGTTTTTTAAATTCCAAACCTTCCTTTTGCACTTAAAAAGTTGCAGACAATCACGCCAGAATATGGCGTCACACAAGCTGTAAATGACCGGATTGGCTGCACTGTTCAGATAGTAAAACCTCAGGAACAGGTTATAGAATGTTAGGCTCACGTCGTCCATGGTTTCAAACTTCGCCAAGGAGGTTACATAAAAAAGCATGGCACTTAGAAAAGGAAGGAAGCTGATAATGTAGACGGCGCTGACGATGGTAAGCTTAGTGGTCGTCTTCCCCATGCGGCGTTTTTGGGCGGGTTGACCTAAAGTAGAAGCAGACGATTTCTTTATGGTCACAGAAGCCAAGATTTGGATGACTCTTGGTCTTAATTTCCTAAGAGGATTTGTGACAGACACGTCAGTTTTTTCACCAGCCGGATTCTTCTTTTTGATGTTCTGTTCGTTGCTAGTTTCAGGGATGACGACAGTGATTTGTCCTTTATCTTTCTCTGCATTTGTGGAATTAGGATCTGGACGAATGCAGTCTTCTTGAGCTGATGTCCGAATAAATGAAACCTTTTTAGCAGATGGCTTTAAGACCTGTTTTGTTTTCCTGCGCTGACTAGAACAAGAGTCCGTTGCTTTTTGATCACTCACGTCCTCTTTTGCACCACATAGTATTCCTTCTCCATTTTTACCCGACCGGTCATTTTCACTTGAAAAAACCATCCCTCTTTCCGCTGTTTGCGCTGTCACTCTTCCCATACTTCTAAAAGCACTGCCTTCTTTGCTTGTATTCGGAGTTTCATTTCTCGCCTTACTTGCATTATCACCTACAGGATGGTTTAGATGATTCATTTCAACCATTTGTTTTTGGGACATACTAGCCCCACTTGATGAGCTGTCGTTGGTGAACAATGTCACTGGGCCGGACGTACTTGAGTGAGAATTGCTTTCGGAAGTTACGTTTAAGTGCGCGGGGGACGAAGTGGAAAACCCGTGAACTGTTCTGCGACGCCATGCTGCAATGAGGACCAAGACGTTTAAAACGACTAGAGGGATGCAGCATACCAAGAAAAGGAAGAGGAGGAAACCCATGTAGACCATCGGCCAGATGGTATTTACGAAACTGTCGTCTGTAGAGCACTCGTAACCGACGATGTCTGGTCGAAGGGTCGGTCTTGTCTGAGTCCCGAAGAGTATGAGGACTGGGACGCTGGCAACTGACGAGAACACAGTGATGGAGACGCACAGAACCTTAGCTTGTCTCACAGTCAGTTGCCTGCCAAACGGACGGCATACTTTTCGGTACCTGCAGAAACGAGATATTTTAGTTGTTTTACTGTTTTGTTTTTGTTGTTTGTTTTTGTTTTAGTTTTTGTATTTTTAAAGAAGACAGATACCATTCACTAGAGACAATAGATGTCGGTTTAGACCGTATCAGCTCCATGCAGTATCCGTCCTGCTTTCGAGTGGGCACAAGGCCGAGAAGAGTGTGGAACAACATTCCAACTCGCAGTTTAAGATCATCAGCTGACAAAAAGAAATTTATTTTACCATCTATGAAACTTAAAACAATGGGTGAAAGGGCATTTGAATACCAAGGCCCCAAGATCTGGAATGCTTTACCAAGTACGTTGAGAGAAATCAAATCTTTTGATTCATTCAAATGTCAGCTGAAGTCGTTTCTGTTTTTAAATTAATAAGATGAATATTTGGAATAATTTTCTTTAGTCAGAACACAACGTTTCATGTTACTGTTGTATGTTGTACTGTATTGTAAAGCGCTCAGAGCCTGTGTACTTTATTAGGGGTTGAGCGCTGTATAAATGTCATTTATTATTATTATCATTAACAAATGCTACACTTTGATCTTAGCCAAAATGCCGAGAAGCGATGAGATATTCTAGTTAGTTTTGTCCAAAAGAAAGCTGTTTGTTAGTACAGGTATTTCGTTATTATTACGTAAGATAAAAAAAAGGCTTAAATAGCCATGTTAACGCAACAACAAAAAACAAATAACAAAACATTTGGAACAGAATCAGTGCGAGCCGAAATAAAAAGAGAGTTAAGGGCAAATACGGAATATCATGAAGATATGATGAAGCTGGAATCATTATATCTCGATGAAACAATTACACACTGAACTTTACAAAAACAACCATGAACGAAGAGACTTGAACAGAGATCGAATTGAATCCAACCAAATCCAACAAAATCTAAAGACACTGTATAAAAGTAAAAGGCATTAGCAAACGTGTTTAAGTCTTGGACCGAATTCAGCGATACCGAATATCTTGCGGGTCAAAGCAAGAGGAACTTGGGTAATATGTCGCTCAAAATCATTTTATGTGAAAATATATTAGATCCATTGCTTGCAGTTAGACAGGAAAGTATCGATCAGACTTTTAATGACGGATATTTTTATTAATTGTCACTTCACCACGGGCCACATTAATTATTGGTCGAATTGTGGACTGGACTGAAATCTATGGGCGTAGTTTGTCCATGCCTGCTGTATAACTAAACCAAAACATTCTTATCAAAACGCAACAAACATAAATGGAAACAAGCAAAGACGAATAAAAGCAAAGTATTCGAAAGTGAATCGAACAGTACTAAACCGAACCAAACAAAAATCGAAAAGGACCAACCCGAATCAAAGACAAGCAGATCGAAGATAATTTGACCACAGCCTCTCCTGACTCTTTCTGTAGCCTTTCTACTGCTGCCCCTTGACTCCTTCTTACTGTTATCTTTTAGCCACACCCCTGATCTTAGGGTACGTAAGATCTAACACCTAACCTTCTCGGATAAGGGCGGACATTTTCTGAGGTCCCGTGTGCAAGTTGCGCATATTAAAGATCCCTTGGTGGTCCAAATACTAGTACTCGATGCAAACGATGTGATGGGGGTCGTCCTTTTATTCCGCTACACATGAATAAGAATAAAGAATATGACCTCGCTTGGCGCAAAAAGGTTGCTTTGAAATGTGACCACTGGTCAAAAAGATACATTACCAATTGCAATTTGCTTTGTATAGCAATGTGTCAAAATAATTTTTTCAGGAATACCGCGAAAAATATACCCCCATGGGGTATAAAATGACCTCAGGTGTACGGACAGGATTAAAGATCTCTTGGTGGTCCTAAAATCAATAAGGGTAAGAGGAGGCTTCGGCCGCCACTGGGGCAAAATTCAAAATAAAGTCCTACCAAACTTGAGTCCTGCGCGCTCATGTGACTTTATTATGCAGTTGCGAGCGCTGTAAAACACGTACCAATACAAAACAACCCCCCCCCCACCAAAACAAAACAAAACAAAAACAACAATAAACAAACAAAAATTAAAAAAAACAGAGCCTAGGTCACCTCACCTGTCGACGGAGAAAGCGAGCAGAAGACAGGCAGAGGACACAATGGTGACTGAGGTGGAGAAGTAGCGGGCACGGCAGAGGTGGGCGTCATCAAAGAACCAGAAGTGGAGCATGGTGTAGACCTCAGCTGTAGAGACGGAGGGAGGGTCATACAGTATAACACGGATAGGTCGAACACAGAAGACTCGAAGTATTACCCGGTATATTTTGAAATTGATGAAGCGAGGGTCTTGGTGATTGATGGAGGCGCAGGGATAGAAAACACGTGATGGTAGGCAGAATGGTGGATAGAACGGGGCGGGGGTGGGGTGGGGGTTCACTTCAGTAACTGATCCCAATGCAGTACCATTTCCACATAACTTAAAGCGAAAATAACTCTCTCTTGTTGATTTTATGTCCAAGAGGCATAAAACAGCATAGTAATCTAACAGTTATATGAAGGTAAGAAGGTCTATTGGTTAGACTACCGGACTCGTAATCGTGACGTTGCGGTGCCGGGGGTTCGAGCTGCGGGCCCGACGTTGTGTCCTTGGGAAAGGCACTGTACACGAATTTTCCTCACTTCACCCAGGTGGAAATGGGTACCCGGCCATAGACAGCGAAAGATATTGTCAGTTTGTTAGTGTTTTAGCGCCTATAAATGGCTGCTTGCACTGTATGCTTCTCAGGAAGTTGAGTTTGTTTCAGAATGCTCTCAGGTCTGCTGGGGTAATAGTATAGATTGTGAAGCGCACAGAGCTTGCTGTTGAACGGGGATTTGCGCTATACAAATGCTATCTATTATTATTATTATTATTATTATTATTATTATTATTATTACTATTATTATTATTACTATTATTATTATTATTATTATTATTATTATTATTATTATTATTATTATTATTATTAGTATTATTATTATTAGAAGGGTATGTGGGAGGTATGGACTGTGACAGGACATATTATGTTACAACATTTAGTCCTTGTCAATAGATAATAGATATAACATATTTCATGTTTGGATTTTTGCTGCGGAGTAAGCTAGTCCCAAACAAGTTGAGAGCATTCCTATACATTTTTACTGCCTACTGTCCAAATTTCAAAGGAGAGAGAGAGAGAGAGAGAGAGAGAGAGAGAGAGAGAGAGAGAGAGAGAGAGAGAGAGAGAGAGAGAGAGTGAGTGAGAGAGAGAGAGAGAGAGAGAGAGAGAGAGAGAGAGAGAGAGAGAGAGAGAGAGAGAGAGAGAGAGAGAGGAGTGAGATAGGCAAGCGAACAAACATGTGTACATGTGTTTTGGTGTATGCATACACACCTAAGAAGGCACACATAAGGGTTAGCACGGGCTTCAAAACAATCCCACAATGTGAACAATACACGATCCAAAATTGATGTACATACTTCAATATAGTATGAGTCATTCGTGGGGAGCCAAAAAGAAGACAACCCCCCAATATGAATATGTGTTTATGGGATATTGCCCGCAGCAGTGATATCGTTTTACAAATAGTAGGAAAGATGCAAATGATGAAAAACAACTTTTATTTGAGAGACGAAATGAAATGACACTACTCAAGACCGCTTTTTTGACATTCGGTACCAAGTTCTATTCCATCTGAGGCCTTAAAAGCAGATGCCAATGTGACGGCCGACCTCCTCCCACTGTTTACCAGGATTGGGAATGAGAACAAGTTCCTAAAGGATTGGAAAGAAGGACTCCTCGTGAAACCTCCAAAAAGGGGGATCTCAGCAACTGCAGCAACTGCAGAGGGACCACTCTGCTCTCAATACCAGGTAACGTCTTCAACAGAATCATTCTGGAGAGAATCAAGACAGTAACGGATCCAAGACTACGGAATGAACAGGCTGGTTTCCGGAAAAATCGCTCAATCACCGACCAGATTGTCACGCTGAGGATCAATGTGGAACAGTCCCCGAAGGGGAACTTCCAGCTGAACAGCAACTTTCTTGACTATGAGAAGGCCTTTGGCAGTATAGACCGTGCAACACTATAGGAGATATTAAGACATCCTGGAATTCGACAGAAGTTCGTGAACCTCATTAAGAGCATGTGGATTGTACATGATGGCCAGCTCACTGACAGCTTTGACTTCAAGACTGGTGTGAGACAGGGATGTTTACTATCACCTTTCCTATTCATATTGGCGGTCGATGGGCTGATGAAGGAAACCACCAGAGGGCACAAAAATGATATACAGTGGATCCCATGGACACAGTTGGACTATCTGGATTTTGAGGACGACCAGGAACAGATGCAAGCAAAGACTTCAGCATTAAACAGCCTATCAGAGTCTGTTGAACTGAGGATCCACCCCGGAAAGTCAAAGGTCCTAAGGACATATGCAGAATGAAAGGATCGGGTCATACTAGAAGGAAATGCACTAGAAGACGTTGAATCATTCTGCTATCTTGGGAGTATAATTGACAGAGAGGGCAGAACAGGTCCTGATATAAAATCTCGCATTGGAAAAGCACAGGCTGCTTTCATATCTTTTAATAGGATTGGGAAGACCAGAGATATCTCACTTCGAACAAAGCTGAGGATTTTTCAATTCAAATCTGAAGTCCGTCTTGTTGTATGGATGCGAGCCATGGAACGCATCACAGACTTGCGTAAAGGTTATTCCGGTTTTCTTGAACAAGTATTTAATAAAGTTACTGAGGATCAGATGGACTGACAGAGTCACCAACGAGGAAGTGTTAAGGAAAACAAGACAGATCCCAGTCAGAGATGAGGTAGGAAGAAGGCAGGGGAGATGGATTGGATATACTTTCAGGACGTCAGGCAGCTGCATAACAAAGAAAGTGTTGGATTGGAATCCACAGGGTAAAAGGTTAAGGGGAAGACCACGTGGAGAAGAATCACAGAAAATGAGGTACAGAAAAGTGGGAAGACATGGAATAACCTTAAGAGGATAGAGAAAGGTGGAAAGTGTTTTGTCCGTGGCCTTAATCTTGGTGCTGGGGGACAAAGGTAATGATGATGACGTAAATTCTGGTAGTGCAAATGCAACATTCTGTTTTTATTTTCTATAACATTTGTGTCACGACGCCGTGGAATTAGGTTCTCGTCAATTTTGGGGAAAGAGTTACTGATATAATCTTGAAGCCTGTTCAGGTGCCTTGCTTTTGCTCGTATTTTAAATAGAAGTCGGGATATTTTAGATTGAAGGAGGTGGGGGTCGCCTGGAGTCATAGGTAGGTAAATGTAGAGAGAAGTTTGGTGACTTCCAAAGATGTGTCTACTTGGAAATTGCACTTTTACTTTTTTTCGTGCCTTTCATCAACGTTTTTCTGTAAATCCAAGCATGTGTTTTTTTAAAGGGACATAAAGGGCGTAAAGCCCCCCCCCCAAAAAAAACACAACAACAACAAACAACAACAACAAAACAACAACAACAACAAAAACGAGCTAACAAAAAAATGCAGTAAAATTGCCCAACGGGAGCAAAAATATCGGTTTTTATTTATTTCGTTATCTTAACAAGCGTCTGATTTCACTGTGATGAGACACATTTTTAGAAAGCAGGAATTAGTTTCTATATCGCATACGTCACTACGCGTTTGAATGTGACTATGACTTTGCCACGAAACGTTTACAGTGAACACCCAGGCGATTTTAAAATTCGGCACCTATGTTCTAGATGCGGACAAGACCAAGGCCTGAAAAAATTAAATATCGCCCCCCCCCCTACCCCATCCCCGCCTCTCCTTTTTTCCTAAGAAAAAAAGAAAGAAAATCTTCGTGGTATCGTAGCAAGTGTTAAACTTGGGGCCTCCGGATTTAGAGGCGAGTATCACGATCACAAAATCACCTTGACCATCTAGAAAGGCGACTTGCATCGCTTCTCAGAGTGGTGTAAAACTCACTGGAAGATCTGATAAGGTCCACATTCTCATTATACGGTCAAATAAATACCTACTTATATAAATTGTTTACCAGACATTGTACTTCAGTATTGTTTGATATTAAAAAAAATAAATAAAAAGTCCCTTGATAGAAATACAGCTATGTGCTTCGTAGTTTTTGGTGTCTTTAGTTTTTCTTCCCAGTAAGTACGATGATTATTGTAAAAAAAAAACCCAACCCCCCC